CTTGACCTTCATCTAACTTTTCTCCCTTTGACACATTAGACATTTGGAGACTACTCGACGACTGAAGATGTAAGCTTTTTTCTCCGATGTAATTATCGTTGCTTACCTTCTTTCGGGAATAGGTCTATGGTCACGGTACGACTCCCTTTCCCGCCGTTCTCCCTCGGATAGCTTGGTTCTGATGGATACGACGATTTCACAGGCACGCACGTTGCTGGAACTGCTGGCGGTAATCGCTTTGGAATCGCAAAGAGGGCAAACTTGATTGGTGTCCGCATTCTAGGAGATGCCGGGACAGGCTGTACGTATCTTTCCTTATTTGCACCATTGGAGATATACTCAAGTATCAATCTATACAGTTTCCTCAGATTGGTATGAGTCCTCCATCTTCTATCGTGGCTGGTGTCTGATTGCACCGCATTTCGTACTCTAAAACAGTATCTCCGCTATTCAATGGGTCATGAGTCAAGTACAGGCTACAGGCCGACCGTCCGTCATGAATATCTCCGTCAAGTTTGGCGTGAGTGATGCGCTGGATGCTGCAGTTACCGACGTGAGTTGTATTTCTGTGTTGCCGCCACAGCTTGTATTCTCCTTCTATTCGCCGACTCGTTTTTGACTTTTCCGAACTTCTCTTACTGATCCGGCCTGTCACCTATTCAATTATAGGCTGTGAACTCCGGCATTCACGTTATCGTCTCAGCCGGAAACTCCGCAAAGGACGCCACTACACAGGTCAGTCGTTCTATCGACCCATTCCACCTCTGCTGACTTGGGAAACTATACCCCCCTCAACCTATACTCTGCACAATGACTTCAAATCTCCTTCCAGTCCCCTGCTCGAGCACCCGCCGTGGTTACGGTTGGAGCTAGTGACATTGTACGTACACTTTGTCTGGGATTTTATCGACCATGAGCTCATAGATCACTATAGACGGATGCCATGGGATACTACAGCAATATGGGGCCTGGTACGTCGCCGCCTCTCTTTCGCATCATCCTCCCTTCCTGAGACCAATCTGTTGACTCTGCTTGGTTTAGTCGTGGACATCTTTGCACCTGGGACCAGTATCATCTCCGACTGGGTGACCAGTGAGTCAATCCCCCTTGAACGCCACCCTCGTATGGAACACTGACATAAATTGGTATAGCCGCGGATTCAGTTCAGACCCTTACAGGCACATCCATGGCAACACCCCACGTTGTAAGTCTGTTCTAGCACTCTCAAGAGGCAAAGTAAACTCACCATGTCCATCTTATATCTAGTCCGGAGTGACTGCCTACATGATCTCCAGAGTTGGCAATCGATCTCCAGCAGCAATGCTCACTTTGATTCAATCCCAATCGCTTCGAGGCGTACTCTCAGGCGTTCGTGAGTACCGAAATCTTTGCATTCGTTTCATCACTTGCAAAATAAACGGGTTCTAATAATTCCCTGAAGCCTCTAATACCACTAACCTACTTCTAAACAACGGCTTTAAATCTCCTGGAGGTGGTGTTAATCAAGTTACAACAACACTCTCCACGACCGCCACCAGCTCCAGTTCAACCAGCATCTCGCCCACCTCAGCGACGGGCTCTAACTCGGCCGACGCCACTACTCTCACCACCATCAGCACTGAACCCACCTCGACAGCAATCCAATCCTCCACGGAAGAGAAAACGGAGGACGCAGACGGTTCATCCTCTACGACTAGTCCCTGCCCCACCCCCACTAAGAAGGTCTCTATCAAAAACAAACGGTGCAAGGACTGCTAGAAAGGCAATAATCCAGTTATCTAGTCGATCACCATGGTTGAACGAGTAGGGAGATTGGCTTTTACACACCATCCACAGATTGAAATCAAGCAAAGGGTTCGCGCTATGCGCGACTCGGGTATTGATACTTGCTCGCATCTACATTTTCACCTTCTCGCATTGTACATATATATATCCCCTGGAACATATTCATCTTGTTCTGACTTGGTAGTAGGATATTCCGTGACTTGTAATCTCACTCATTCACAAAATCACAAACGAGTTCAACTGAGTACGGCGATCGAATTTGTAACTACGATGAAAATCAAA